GTTTCAAAAGTCTTCCACTTTTCATCTTCAGGTCAGTGTGTGTAAGGTGTTGTTGGTCTTTATAGTATTCTGGTGGGTTGTGGAGAGCGTGTTATCATTGATTGTTCTATCCCCGTTTCTTATTAGAGGAGCAATTTCCTGTAGATTCAACCAATGGTAGCCACAGGTTACTCACCTCTAATCCGGAATCTCTGTTTAGTGAAGGTTTAATTGTGTTAATATAAAATGATTTTTTATATAGAGTATGATATAGAAATACCAGATAAAACTGTGCCACAAACAGATCTATTTTCTTGAAACATTAGTTAAATTGTGTTCCCTCTTCCCACCATAGCATGAGCCTTTATTTCCATCATCCTCTTTCATGAAAAAATAACTAACTTATCAAATTATCCAGTGTTGAAATTGGAACATTCTCTCAGGACTAATAAAAATTACAGGCTCACTACATTTTCTAATAATAACTTGTAGGTCATTCAACCACAGTTTATCTCCCATTCATTAATTTCAATATTGGAATCAAGTTATCTTTTTAAATGCTATTCATGTTTTCTTTATTTCTTCATATCTTTTTATCTGTGTAATTGTTTCGTATGTTTTAGTTTAACATTAACAAAGGACTCACATGCCTTGATGTATACGTGTTTGTTTACATATGCCCATTGGGTTGTATGTCAACTATTTTTGTAGTTTTCACAACTTGCCTACTACTACTGCATGGTCTATCTCAGTAGCATGTTACCTGCTGACATTGAGCTTTGTAGTGACTGTGGCGTCATCTAGCGGCCATCAAGCTTAACGTTTATATTTTAGGCTTTATGAAATAAATAATCGTTGGTAAAAGTTTGAAATCAATCATACATTTTTGAGCAATGTTTTTCCTCAAAGATTAAGATTTGTACTGTTACTACTGTACTTTAACATTACCAGATCAGTTTCTGTACATTTCTCACAAAGATCAATGTAAACTCCAGCAGACATTAGGTAATAATAAACTACCGAGTTCTCAGAGTTCCATGGAATTCTGGAAACCTTGGATCCCCTGGCATCCACACACTATTCTGCATTACTATTAGCAATCTTTCAAAAACTTGACTATCCTAGCTGTTAGAAATTTCTGATTAATCCCATCAGTATCAAGAGCAAAGCTGATATTGGGGCTTTGACTGCCAATGACTCTTATCTCTGCCAACTCATTTGGCTATTGAAAAACTGCAAGATCATTGTCTGTTGTGTCACTTATTGGATGGATTGTCATGGCTCATGGCTGCACCCTCACTTTCCTCAGATTAGTCATTCTCTCTACTCCTTATCCAACCTGTGCATGCACCAAAGGCTTGCCTATAACATATGGTTGAAGCTTATCGACATGCTCCAAACACTTTGGTTGTAACACTGTGTGTGCTACACTATATGATTACTGCTTGATTTCTCACAGCTATGATGATCTGGCAGTTGGATGGCTATTAGTCAAAAGGGTGTTACAAACTTTTGCTTCATGTCAAGGGGCCCAATATACAGAGTACTAGGTATGGACTAGTCCAGCCTGATAAAAGTTGCTTCCATGCTGCTGGCATACACCACAAACAATCAGTCAAAACCTTGGAATGTTCATTCCTTCACTGTCCTATCATAGCATTTTTTTGCCATCATGATACCTTCCCAAATTGCTGAATAGGCAAACTCATGTGCATTTGCCATTGTAAACCTCAGTCACTCAATATACTCTTGGAAGTAAGGAGGGGCTTTTCCTTTCAATAGTGTACCATGCATGGCGTTTCACAGGGAATGTCACTTTTCACCCAGACATAAGTAGATTCGTTGAACAGCCTTTAACAAACTTTGCCAACATCTGCTTTTTTCGATTGTACTGTCCATTCAGCTGAACTATCAGTCTGGGAGTAATAAAGTGAAGTACGAGTCTTTACCACACCTAATTCCTTTCATTACTCAGTGAACAGTTGGCTGTTGAAGTTAGCCCCCTGGTCTATGTGGATTTATGGTGGTGTTCCAAGCCATGTTATCCAGTCCTCAGCTAATGTGTCTACTATGGTCTGCACTGGCATGTCAGTCAATGAATATGCTTCAGCCCACTTTGTGAAGAATACAATAACCACAAGTATGTGGCTATTCTCTGTAAAGGAGAATCAACAATTCATAGTTGGAATATATCCTTTTTTGGCTGGTATTTCCTAGGGATGGTACACACTGTACAGGTTCATACCATCACCACACATTTTGACTCACTCACAGCCAGAAAAACCATCAGATGTTAGCATAAGTTCATGTAACACCTTGGTGTCCTCCAATTTTGTGTTATGCAAAACTCTAGGGAATTCCATACCCCAGTGCCATGGGGATCACTAGCTGAGAACCAATTCTAGGTAGATGATGAAACAATATTACAGTACACCTCACACTTGTAGTTGATCATACAAGTTTCAGAGGTTGCATGCACTGGTACTTCACTTTTCAACCTGTGTCAGGCACAATTCACTTTGCTATGTCTCAAGGAGTGTTCATGCTAGTTCTAGATCCTTCAGTAGAGTTGCCTATCTTAGGAATGACTGATGTTATGGCCGATACAGTTGTGGTTTTAACTCCCACAAGGTTTCCAGGGTCATGACATTCTATGAATGGATAAGATCTCACTGTGTGATGATATAATCCACCTGTGTTTCTGTGATGAGGACCCAGGCAGAATTAAGACAATCCAATTCTTGCAATGTTGTTATCCAATGTGCAAAAATCCCCTCTGGATTTGTAACATTTATTAACCACTTCAGTGAAGCATGATTTTCTTGATTGGTGAACTTTCTACCACACAAATACCAAAGTGTGACCACAGCAAATAGTTCCTTTTTTGTTGTGCAGTATCTGTATTCAGCTGTGAGTGTACAACATGTGTTTCACTGTGACAACACTGTTCTAGCTCCAATATCAGTGACATCAGTGTATTGAAGAAACTCACAGTCTTGGAGTAGCTACTAAAGCCAGCTTCAGGGATCAAAAAGCTTGGTCACACTCTTCACTCCAATCATAGTATGCTTCTACTTTTGTAAGGGCTGACAAAGGTGCTGCTATCTTTGAGTACAACACAAATCCAAGAAAACTGCAAACCTCTTGTTTCATCACTGGTCTGGGCCAGTCTCATACCACACCTTTCTTAGCCAGATTTATCGAAATTCTCTTTCTTTTGACTAAGTGGCTAACAAATTACTTTAGTTCACATGAGAGAACATTTCTCAGACTTCAATTCCAGGTTCTCAGACAGCCTCAGAAATGTGACCAAATACCAAAACATCACAAACATAGACTACGCATTTCTCTTATTGCAATCCCTCAAGAAGGCTGATGTGTTACACAGTCTAAAAAGTAAATGGCATAACACAAAATTCAACAATCCATCTCTAGTGCTAAAAGCAGTTTTTGTTTCCTTTTTGTCATCCAGCTCAACTTGCCAATATCCAGAAGCCAGATCCAAGGTGTTGAAACAGTAGGAACCTACTAATGCATCCAGAAAATCATCTGGCCATGTTAATGGGAAAGTGTCAATGCAGGTCACTGAAGGTTATATGATGCCCTCCTTAATACATCAAAGGAGTTGATGCAGCATTTGCTTTATCGGGTATACAACACCCATATCTATGTGGTGTACAGTTACTCTCATTTGACTCAGTTGTCCATTTGGTCCCACAAATGCAATGACAAATTCATCCAATAAATTACTACATTGTTCTCACTGTATTGGGTTTATATCATCAGTACAATCATCAACCAACACCTTCAGATGTGTCAGTAGTCCAGTATTAGCTTTCAGTTGTGGTAAGATGGATGTAATCCTTTGCTTACCATACCGATGAACAGTGCAGCATCAACTGGATAGCTGATCATCCACAGTTACAGAGCATATTATTGACATAATTTAAAATCTTCAGTGAATAATGTTAATCCATCTTTCTAATAAATACATAATAAATCCAAAATATAATTTGTCATGAGATAATGAGTTTATAAATACTCGTAGTAGAAAATAAAATATATAAATAGCAATTGAGATACTAATGAAAAATTATAAGTTATAATGTACTTCTATATCTACCAAATAAGAATACCAATAACTTTTATTTTAACTAAATACGAGTTTGAAAACTGAATAACCATCATATTACAGTCTACACTTGCTTTTCAAGAAGTACAATTACCACAGTATTTGCATAAGGTCTCTCAACCAGCTTAAATGTCTGTTCCCTAAGTTTTGCTGTGCACTTCTTTAGCTTGTTTTTTAATTCCTGCAATGTTAGGTGTCTATACTTGCTCATTTTTATTCTTATTAACTGCTAGAAACTGAGAGAAAAAAACATTTTTTTTACAAAAACAAAATAACTAAGATCTTGTAAGAGGAATGAAAACAGACCATATTTTTACATGATGCCAGAAAGTAGAGGTACTTTGGAGCCTGAAATTGATTAATGTAGCTTTGTTACTTGTAAATCAATTTTATTAACTTTTTAATTATAACTAAACATTATTCCCACAGTATGGAAATCAGAGAACAAAACAAAATAGTTGAGTAAATGACATACAGACACATATTTCAATAACTGCAAATCACTTATCATTAAAATTAAATGTTTGTTGAGAACAATTGATAACAACACGTTCTGCTTTATTTTCATCCCTTGAGAAACTGGAAGTGCTCGTTTTAAAAGTTTTATAACTTATATCAATGAGCTTTGAAGTCTTTAGCTGCTGAAATATTTTTTAAAAAGTTGCATTACTAAAATTCCCTATAGAGTGATATAATTACTCACTAGGTTAATGGAAGATTAATTATTTGAAAAAATAATAGTATAGATAGCTTTAGCAATGAACATTAATTTTTAAAACTGCATTTGTTAAATTTGTAATTTCACATCAAGTCTGTTAAAATGGTTCACTTGAGCATTAAGATACCTAGAGATTGTAACAGAAAATGACTTTCAAAGATGTCTTTTATTCTGAAGCTGTAGATGGCACTATTTATTAAGACATGTAGCTGTCTGAAAGATGTTTATCACAGAAGTAACTTGCATTCAGAGTGCCCTAATGAGACATGTCTCAGAATGGGAAGTATTTCAAATTGCATGCTAGCAAATACACTAATGTTTCGAAAGTAAGAATTCCAAAAGGTTATCTGAGCAAAAAACTATTGGTTTTATTTTGTTACTCAAGTGGAACCTTTACAGTCAGTGTTACCAAAAAGGCAATAAGTATGTTTCTTAGTGCAACATGCTTGATTCATTGCCAGATATCTGTCCATCTGTATAATAATACACACACTGGTAAAACATGGGAATACTCCTACAATCACTTTTAACACATACTAACAGAAGGTAACATTACTATCAAAATAAACAATTTATTACCATTTACAGAATTGAAGATAACAGCAGATAAAGGTTTAAGAGAGTCTGATAATTGTAATTCTAAAACCAGCTTTAAAACAAGAAATTTTCTACTCTTCTCAAATTGTAAACTTTATTTTTTATCTATCAATATACTTCGCTTGTTTGATATTACTCTATCATACTTCTCTGAATGCAAAGTTTTCTTGGCTGCATTACCTTTTCTGTATTATGGATTGCCACTGTCTTAAATAATCAGTTTACAAATAATAATCTACCTTCTTTCAGTTCACATAGACAGTGCTAATCACCAATGCTATCAACACTGTATTTAAGTATTAAGTTACAGTTTTGAACACCAAAAACTGATGAAGCATTGAGAACTAACAGACCTAACATGTGCAGTTTCATGTGACTTTCATCACAAATATTAAATCTATTGGTAAATAATATCAAATTAGTTCACTTGCATTATCTCAATAATGTCTATGGGATTTTTAATTGAATTACACACAGATTGATTCATTGTGACTGTCAAACTGTCAAAAAATCTTTAGAACTTAGAGGCTTAATATAATTATCATTCAATTTTATTGGTAAAAAAGGTTAAAACCAGTACCCTAGTGTCTGAACTTATACATAACAAACTGAAATAAAATAATAGTTTTACTCACTAAAAGCCATTAGTAAACATCTTTGTACTGTCTTTGGATTGAGTCACTGCAATTACAAATGTTTATAGAGCTACCTTTTGTAGCTTATAAAAATATAAAAACTGTCATAACTGCATAATATTTTATTGATCCTGATCTTCTTGATTAATAACTACTACTTTGAACAAGCAATTTTAAATGGTTTTACAAGTTTTTCCTTTCATACATTGTTCCATATTATTCACCACAGGACTACCTGAAACACAGAAGTCTTAGGCACAGAAGCAGGAATAGCAGTTACACAATAAAGCATGAAAGTTTGAATAAAAATCCAATTACCTAACTATGAGTAAAAATTCAGTAGTACTTTGTTGGTTGTTTAATCTCAGCTGCTTCTGATTCTTCAGAAGCATCTCCTCCACCCATAACATAGTCTCATGTCGTTTAGGAATTCCGCTACACTGTGTGAGGAGGCACCTATGTGGGCTCAACTGTCAAGACTGGGAGATTGTTTAAAAGAATAATCTAACTCTAGGTTCAAGGAGAACTCAAGTACTTTCAACATACACCAGGTAAACGTGATGTGGTACAATCCCACAAAATATTCGAGGTAATTGATAAAATTGAAAATGAGACTATTCTACAGGTGAGGGAGACACTTCTGGTTCTTTGAAAGAAGTCAAGATTAAACAATCAGCAAAATTCTACTGAACTTTTACTAACAATTTAAGAATAGCAATATTACACAGAAATATATCTGACACAGAACTGCAGAACTTGTATTCCAAAATAGCAACCAAAATCATACAAATATATGTGTGTGATAAAACGCGACATGACATTACCCTAAAACAATTTAGGAATTTATAAGAGAACCATTTTTACTTACCTCTAAATGCTATTAGACTACATGTAAAACAGTTTCCACTGTTGATGACAAGCAGTTTCAGTCCTGTATTATCCACACATTGCTTGTCTTCAGAAAAAGCTGTTTATTTTGCAATACATTTTCCATCTTGTAATCTTCTTTATCATTTTTTGTGTGAAGGAAAATAAACAAAAAGAAAAGACTTCGGTAAGATTTATATTTTCTTAAATTCCAACTGATTGCTAGTGAACTGTTTTATTTGTATAAATTTCTACGCATGTAACAAATGTAGCTATTCAAAAAATGCTGTTAAACAATCAAATTATAAAAAGGTAAAAATGTAAGTTATAATTGAAAGAGAAGAAACCTAAGGGATTGTGTGAGTTTAGTAGTTTACTTTAATATCAGCAAAGTTTTTTCAAAACATACTTATTTCAATTACTGCTAAGTATTTCAATAAACAAGGCACATGGTCTAAAGACTGAGCTTATGTCTTTGAAAACTAACATTTTGATCTGAGTGATGGCAGTGATGGCAATAACACAAAAATGTGTGTCCTGGATGCAAATCAAGTAATTGGATGTAAAACAAAAATTGTTCTACATTCATAGAACACATAAAAACAGAAAAGAGAAACAACAATAAAGTAAGAAGTGTCTTAACCCATTCCAGACTGGGAGGGTGTCACTTCTATCCCTTGAATTTTTCCTTGTGATAGTGGAAATACTTAATAAAATTGCACGAAACTTAGAACCAACTTTCTTAATAACTAAATATTATCTAGCTTCCACTTAAAGAAATTCATAAAATTTGGTTTTGTTTTCTATCATTTTTTATGTTGTGAAATTTCCAACATTTTGTTGTGAGACATTATTTTGAAAAACATTAGAAATACTTCTTTTCATTTTAGAATTTAAATTTGTTCTAAGTGTTGTTACGACAGCGGAAGTTGCATGACACTGGGAGCATGCATACTGGAATTTCTCAAATGATCATGAACGCCCGAGTGCATTCGCTTTTTAGTATATAAGCCTGTCGAGAAAAACCAGCGGGATTGAATTGAAGAGATAGATAATCGAGTCACGGTAAGTCGATTCTGTTTCTGTGTCTTGCAGTCGCATTGAGCAAAGTTATCGTGCTTGTGAATCGCTGTGATTATAGCGTGTGTTTATAAAAGTCGTTCAGTTTAAAGTGACGAGGAACGTATTGACTGTGGAAATTCTGTGTATTACAAAGTTTGTATGGAGAAAGAATAAACTAGTTTTAATCAAGAAAGGACTTGTATCGCTGAAGTTTCTTGGAAAGAATTTCTACAGGAAATTAACAAACAAGCAGATATGCAACAGTGTTGATTAAAACATTCCCATTCCATATTGGCCATACTCTGGAATGTTACACAACACACAGCTTTGCCTACCAAAATAATATGAAAGCATAAAATATACAGGTGTGTGAACCAAACACATCAAATATAAGAAAAAAAATGAGTATTTTCAAATTTTGAAAAATTATGCAACAATACGCTAACAGACAATCAAGCACTTAAATGGTTTGATCAGTTCACATACTATCTAATTTTGAAATTACAAATGTTTAGTATACTAAAGACAGATTTATTACAAAACTTCTCATATTGATAAAAACTTACATAAGTTTTCAGTTTTGTTCCAACAGTTAAGGGTCGTAAAAATTGCTTCCTTTTCAATGTGAATTTATCTTTTTTTCTTTTAAATAAATAAACTGTAATGTAATTCCAAACTGATTTTTCATGGAAGTAATGATATTGTTACATATGAGATGCTCATAAAAAAAACACATGCCATGAAAGAGAAAAATTATGTTTAAAAATTAACTTTATATTGACACATTGTACAGTTTATGTTAGATTAATTACATCACACTATATTGATGTTTAGGCCTAATATCAGTGAGTTGTTGAATCAGCAAATATTTTTACCATTGTGGCAGTTCATGTTAGTTATAGCATCACAAGTTTCATTCAATAATAATTATGTGGAAATTGGCAAGCAAGAAATAGAGTTAAGGTCACAAGGATTCACTCTGCAAATGCTTGAATGTTAACATATTCCTTAACTGAAAATGTATTTCTGATAGATACTTACCTCTTCTCATAAAAGGCTTTCTCAAACTTATACTGCCCTTTATTGGCACAAATTTTTGCACACTACTAGCCTTGACACTCCCACTTATTTCTGCATACTAACATGCAAATGCTTATGCAGTAACCCTCCACCAATAGGAGTGTGACATTACCCCTTTCATAACTAGCACCCTCTCTAAGCTTGCAGCTGTTAATCACTTTGAGATTGGACAGATCACACCAAACAAAACTGAAGTGGGGAGAATGGGTGGGAAATGTGAAAGGAGGAATCTATAGGAAGTGCATTTTCAGTTTAAGAAAATGTTGACTTTCGATACTTCTGAGCCAGATATACTCGTTGCCCATTAGTAATGTATCACTAAAAGGGTGGAAACATGGAGGGACACCAAGAAAAAATTACAAAAATAATGGGACCCCCTGGTGTAAAGTGGCTAGGGCACAACAGACCGTAAGTGGGAGTTCAACCTCCACCAACACCTGATGGCATCTGGAATTGTACATCAGGTGCACAGTAGGAAGAGGGTCCTCTATCTTTCACCTCAAAAATAAGTACCAGTAGAGAAGAGGAGCTTCCATACCAAGAACCCACCTCTGCATGTACGCACCTCCAACACAACCAACACCGGTTCCACCGGGAACCCACATCCGGCAGATGGAAGGAAGGTGGAGAGCCCAGGTGGGTGTTCCTCTCCAGTCCAAAACCTGGCACCAATGGGAATTTTTTGTCCAGTCTGCGGTAGGAAGAAGGTTCCATAGCCTTACACATGCAGGAATTCCTGTATCTCGTCCAGTTACAATCAACACCAGGTCCACCAGCAATCAAGATGCAGTGGATGGTAGGAAGATGGACCATAATTTGTGGTTGCATCTCCAATCCAAAACCTGGAGTCATTGGGAATTTATTGTCCAGTCCACATTAGGAGGAGGGTACCATTCAAACACACATGAGGACTTGTGTGGCTGGTCCAGCTCAAAATAATCCCCGGGAACTGACATCCGGCAAATAGTAGGAAGGAGGGTGCCTCAGGCAGAGGGGCAAAATGCAATATATAGTGGAGTGCTACATCCAACACTGGCGGCATCTGAAATGATACATCAGGTCCATAGTAGGAAGGGCATCATGCCATCTGCACAAACAGAATGCCACCGCTCTACTCTCAACTGAGTGGTATTGTGCATACTCAGGAGGACAGACCTCCATGGTCCATCACTCCAGTGACTAGGAACTGGTAAGTGGCAAGGACTCCCATACTCCACAAGAAGAAGGAGGGAAAAAATGCGTTGGAGAGTCCTGAGAACCACAGCACCAGAGACAGTGCAATGGGTGACCAGCTTCTGAAATTGTGCATTAGGTCCATAGTAAGAAGAGCCTCAATGCTATGGATCATCACAGATGGGCAGTAGTCCCTGTCTGCTTTACTCATGCTAGTCCACGAGAATGAACATATTTAGGAAGCAACAGATCATGACAGATACCTATGAGCAGTCCTGCGGAACACCCTATCTCAATGGTGTGTGTAACATGACCTTATGACATGTTATGATAGTGTATTTCAATATATAGAGAACACATCGAAAGAGTCAATCAACCAATACCTGACTGCATCTGGAATTGTACATCAGGTCAGCAGTAGGAAGATCCTCAACGTCACAGTCATCTAGCAAAGTATATGATCATAGGTCATATAGTGCAGATTTAAAACTAAATATACCTGGGCAGGCAACATTCACCACAGAGCAGGATCTAAATATGCAATAAAGGACTGTGCAAAGAAAAACGAAAATGAACAGAGTACTTACCACCCACAGATACAAAGTTACAGCACTAATGGTAAGGTGAAGGATGTGATGGGAAGAAAACATTAAGAAAGGTGACAATCGACAGGAGAAAGGGAAGAAAAACACCAGGTGGATTAACTGGTAAATTCAACCTGGAAGGGAAATGGGAAAAAAAAATCATCGGAGAGGTGAAGATTTCACATAAGAAACAACTGGACTCAGGAGAGCCTTGAACAAGCAATGAAGGAGAGTGGGATCAGAATGGTCATAAATGTGGGAAAAAGGGTTTGAAGGGAGAAGTACTCTCTCGAGCAGCTGAAGTCATGGGCATAAAGGAATGATCAGAAAGAGGAGAACCTAGGAACTAAGAAAACAAAAATGCAGCTAATATCAATCACGAACACATCAGAACAACAAAGTTTGCATGCCACCAAGAGCAGGAACAGGTACTTCAAGCAAAGGTGATTTAAAAAAAAACAACACACAAAGACATAAGGTCCAATGGAGGATGGGGAAGAGTAAGGAGGACCACATAGAGGTGCAAATCTGGAAGGGAAGCAAGGCGGGAAGGACAGGACAAAAGAAAGGAACAAAACAAAATGGATAAGACTAGCAACTGGAAAATACAAGAAAAGTCAGTAAATCAAAAAGTGGCAGATAATGCCACCCTATAGCCAGCATCTAAAGAGTGGCATTATAGGGGCATCTAAGGGATCCCAAACAATGCTCCATTGATGATGATGCATGAGGGCATGACCAAGAGGAATGAGAGCTTTGAGTGAAGCCCATGTCCCAAGAGAGAGAAAACCTTTCACACATTAGGAAAAGAAGAGGATGAGATGCTACATACGAGACATTCTATAGCTTGCAACGAAAGTGGAGCAGGTAGGGCCTGATGGAGGAGGGAGTTGAAAAACACCCCAATAAGAAACAAGTAACTGTATGGGTGTGAGGAAAAACTGTTCCACTTTGACAAGCAAACCCCCATGACAGTTTCTTAGAGAAGAAACTGAGGATGGAGAACTAAGTCATCTAGTGAGGAGGCAAGAAGCAGCCATACATAAATAGAATAGTGGAAATGAAGGCCCCTGGAAAAAATTGGGTGGGCAAAAAAGAACTGGATCCTGAAGAGGAGGGAAGGAAACAGGAATGACAGACAATGGAGAAATGAATTGGAACTTAGGACCACACTTACTGAAAAGACTATCGGAACTCAAAGGTCAACCCCCAAGGACCTCCAAAAATGGGCAAATTTTATGAAACAGGAGAGAAGGACAGAACATAACATACCTGAATAATCAAATCCACCAAAGGGGAAAGAGGTTCGAGCAAATAACCCGAAATGATATGTGACTGAGAGGCATACACAGAAGGGGAAACAAAAGGCTGTCCAAATCCAAAACTTCCTTATCACTGAAAACCATGAGAGGACAATCATCAGTTTGTTGTGAATGTTACAGAAAATTGGTTGACTCCTGACTAGAGCCGTCACTTCATGGGCTGAGAATCATGGTTCCAATGTATTGGATGTGGTGGGAATTTCACTGCAGCAGTTGTAGTCATGACCACTTGAGCTTGAGAGTGCATAACTCATGAAAGTGAAAGACAAGAGAAGATATATAAAATTATTCATAACTCTACACTAAGTAATGAAAATAGTAAAGAACAATGTAATTAAGATAGAAATGTTAAGAAAGTAAAAACTTGTGGATAAGTGAATCAAACCACGAGTGAAAACATCTATTCAATAAGACTATCAATCGAGAAGTGGTTAACAGTTGCAAGATTAGAGAGGGTGCTAGTTATGATAGGGGTAATGTCACATTCCTATTGGTGGAGGGTTGCTGCATAGTCATTTGCATGTTAATATGAAGAAATAAGTGGGAGTATCAAGGCTAGTGGTGAGCGAAAATTTGTTCCAATAGAGGGCAGCACAAGTCAAGAAAGCTTTTTGTGAGAGGAGGTAAGATATCGTATCAGAAGCAATGCTAACAAGTAGTATTTTTATACCACCTTTCTGGGATCCTTCTGTCCACATTTTTTTGCAAAACTAGCTTCTTCCTCTTCATTTTTTTTTAACTTTGGAAGATTCAAGAAATACCAGCAAATTCTAGATGGCAAAATGAAATAAAATTTTAGTAACTTTGTTTTTATTTAAATATTCTGATAATTTTTTTTTACTTTGTTTGTTATTAAGCACAAAGCTGTCTGTGCTGTCATAACCACAAGTATCAAATCCTTAATTTTAGCATTATACATTTTTTGCACTATTATTCATTACCTTCATTTTTATACCACCTTTCTGGGATCCTTCTGTCCACATTTTTTTGCAAAACTAGCTTCTTCCTCTTCATTTTTTTTAACTTTGGAAGATTCATTTTTTCCAGTACTTATAGGTCATAGTAAATACAATATTATATATATGTATATATGATGATCAGGAATACACTACCATAATTTGTAAAGAATATATCTGGATTCAGCTTTTTTTTTTGTAGTTGTAACATCCTTGTAAGCCAGATATGGGAAATTGTATACTTATAATAATGTTCCATCTTAGACAAAGGTTAACTATTATATTGATTGATCCATAAAGCTTATACTCACTTGGTCCTGTTTCTCTGACATGCTTCCTGGAGTAGGGTCATACTCATTTCATGGGTGGTATGTAGACTTGTACAAGTTAATATAAGTTGTGTGGGTTTAACTCATTTGAACACCTTTAATGAGAGTTTTCATTGGCATAGGTGATCTAAGAATTGTTAGATACTGCACTAGGACTCTGGTGTGACTGAACAGTGTGGTATTTTATTATTCCTGCTATGGTTCTTCTACTGTGTGTGGACATATTTTATTCTTGATCCTGCTCCTGTACTGTGTGGATGTGTTCCTGTTTTTATCCTGCTCTGCACCAGCAGCCAATAAGAGTTCAGCTGCAAAACAGAAACAGATAGATAGTTAGTGACTTACAGTTTACATTTTACTCTGAACAAAAATTTTGTATATTTGTATTTACTTTGTTGTTCGAGTTCATTTAATTCCCTACATAACATTTCCAGATCCCATTTTGTGAATACACAAATTAATTGCTAGATATTCATCTACCTGAATACAATATACATACACACATGTATAATACTAATAATAATTATTAAGTAAAAATTTAACCGTATTTTAAAAAAATACAAAAATAAGGTGATTGTAAGTCAATTACCATTAATCTTCTTTAACAAAAAATCATAAGAAATATTGTATTTTCTTAAAAGTAAATGATGTAAAATCTTTTGTACTGTGCTACAATTTATATTTATTTTTATTACAAATAATTTCTCCAGTAACTGAGACTACTGAAGTCCTTTTGAGTAAGGCAAACATTCTCAATAGAATCACATCTTCCCAGTACCTTAGTGTTGTCAATGAACTTGGATCTCTTTTTTCCAAGCCTCAAAGCTAAGTTTTGTTAAGTAAAGATCAAAAACTGATACAAGCAGTAACTGAAAACAAGTGAATGAAAGCTCTGGGTTCTGTGTATATGAATAATAATAAAATTAAACAACCTTAACTTATGCCTTTCACCATTTCAACCACAAGTTGTAAGTCTAATGACCTGTGTGTTTTTCTTTCAGAAAAAGAATGGAGTAGATTACTTAAAAGAAAATTATTATGTTTTAGATTTTTCAAAACATAGGTTTACAAATAATACTTATCAATCTCAAATCTGTCATTTTGTAAAAATTTTTAGTTTTTTTAATTCTCCATGAGAGTGATATACAATAACTTCAGGTAATCACCATTCAATGTTTAAGTGCAGGTCTCCGACTACTATTACCACAGGATTATTCAAAGCAGAGACGTCAGAACCAGAGTGCTGTAGCATCCCCACTGTTAAATATTTAATTAAATAGCAACTGTAAATTATATTATTATATTAATTTTCTGGGGGGTGCATGCCCCCAGATCACTCCTAGATTGAGCTGCTTTTAGCAGCTCCTTATACTTTCAATCTCTCATTGTAAAATCTGTATGTATAGCCCCCACTTTCCAACTCCTTCCTATACCACTGACTGAAAGCATGCAAGTGCTAATGGTGTATGATTTCAGGGGGCATATTAAAAGAAATATTACAAGTAGTTGTGAAAAACTTTATCATCTCTAGTTTCTTAAAGAAAGGTCAACTTTAAAATTGCATTTGAATAGAAGTTGGATAATGAAAAGTTAAACTTGAGAATAGACTGTATACTACTGTCAACTAGAAAAATAAAATAAGTGGTAGAATGTGAAAGGCAGTTAGGATAACCATCAAATGCCTAAAATTTAACATTATGATCATGATTAACAAAGTCAGAGATGGGGTAATTCTTAGCATCAGAAATTTTAAACTAAGGTTACATGAATAGTGTTTAGTATTGTTTGAACCAAAACTCTCACCAAGTTCAAGTATCATACTAACATAAAAAACTAACCAAACTTTTTAAAAGTGAATGACAAAGGTGCCAAAAATAAAAATATGAAGAATCCCACTAACAACATCAAGATGAATATCTCATCCAAAAAACATAGAAGCTCTATCAAAAAAATGTTGAACAAATTGGTAAGACAGGAAAGATATTTCCTAAAACTATGCTCAGCAAACTGAGAGTCATTAGTTAAATTCATTGACCTATGGTTCCCCAGACCCTCTATACACCTAAAGACTGAGCTTGAGTACAATTTTCCTCATAATTTTAATAGCACATTTGACACAAATTAGCAAAATTGAAAATTTGCCAATTATTTGATTGTAAGTAGAATGAGCCCATTTTTCTGATTTTTGGACATGATGAAACTAATAAATTTATTCATTAACTAGACCTATGTAATTTATAACTGGGAAATAAAAACTACATAACTACCCAGATTAATTTCTAACTGGGAGTTAACATTTTACAACGAGCTAAACATGATTTTTATCTGGAAGATAATGTTTTGCATGACTTGTTTCTAATTAAAGGATTACAAATGAAGAAACCATTGCAGCAGGAGTAGCTTTCAATCATTATGGTGAGACACAAGTGAAGTAGTTATTATATTCATAGCAAATTTAGCAGTGTAATCTATATCAAGGTATATATATATACATTTATGAGCACTACTTGTTACATAAAATAAATTTATCTTCTGTCACTAATTAATCAATGACACATTTTTATGTAAAGCCTCTATCCCAGAATGTGTTTACTATGTTCATGTCTAGACCTTCTGCTTTTAAAACATCTTCCAAACATCAAGACTTTTGAAAAAAAAAACATTATAATAAGTGCAGGATAACACTTTTGTGCTATAATTTGGATCCCATGTTTATTATAGAAGTCACTCAAGTCATTGAAGCAGTGCTCTGTTGCTATTAATAAAACTAATATACTTTTATGGTGTATTTATAGACATACTGATTACAAGTCAAAAGTGCTAATTATCTCTATACATATCATTAGTTAGGCCTCACTTGGAATATTGTGTTTTGGTCTCCTTATCTAAGAAAGAATTTGACTACTTGCGCATTTTTCATGTAACTCATGGCCAAGTTGTTTTCATTCTAGTTGCCTTTGTTCCTTGTCATTCTCTTGAAATAACATCTTGTTTGCTCATGGGAGGTATGGTGATAATGCAACACATTGTCCAAAGATGTCAACAGCATGCAGTGTCCTCCAATGGTAGGTCAGGTGATGCCTCGAAGTTATAACCTCCTGTTTCATTGGGCTTAACAACAGTGACATAGGTGGCACTTTCATCCCTAGAACATAACATTATAGAATTTGGTATATAATATTATGATTTATTAGTTAATTCTCTCTGAAGCTCAAACACTTTGTGTGGTAAGTGAATTAGTAAATAGTAATACTCTCCTAAAATTTAATCTGTAATATTATGTAGTTCATATTAAACCTCTTTACTTCATTATGAGAGTTGAGAGAGTTAACTATCTAGTAAAGACACTGTCCTTCATACAATACACACACTAGTTTGTTTGTTTTTTGTTTAAATAAAGATTTGTTTTAATAGTTTCATTTTGAGTTTAGTTACTGATTATAAGTATTATTTGTTTACAAGTTACAGCTTTTACAGTAAGGAAGAATATTTTTCAAAACAGGTATGACATTTTGATCACTGGTGAGATCATTCTGAAGTACACAAAAACTAGCACTAAAACAAATAAATATAATGTAAAATATAGCAGTTTAAGAACTACAATCTAAAATCTGTTTTATGAATGTGTTGATTTTGGTTTTTGTAATCGGATTTGTTACTGTATTTGCTTGATTTTTGAATCTATTTGTTGTGGATCTTGAGGGTTTTTGATGTTGGCTGGAAATCTTGGTGTGTATATGTGTTTATTTTGAAGTACATGCTCATTGTTCATGTTAGTAATAAGTGCTCATATCTGGTTCGTCATATGGTTTGAATGTATTTTGTAATTGTTCTTTGAATGCCTCTGCTTTTTGTACGTTTATGTATGTTATTTTATTTTTGTGTTTTAGTGTAAAATATATTTTGTGGGTATTATGACTGTTTGTGTAGCATTTTAGATTTGCCCAGAAGTGCTTTGGATCTGTAAGTTCATTCAATTGCGAGCAGTAGGAATCTCATCTATTTTCTTTGTTTCATATTTTGTTTCTTAGTGTGTTTATCTGTGTTTTGATGTATGGGTCTCTAGTGTTAATATAAATTCTTCTTAGATGACAGCGTTGTTTTATCATATTTATTATTTATGTATGTGGTTACCATGTGTTATGAGTAGTATGTTGTTTGTGTTTGGGAATAGTCTGATCTGTGGCTTTGGTAAGACACTTGGTGATTGCCTGATTGTTTAACAGCACTCGTCTATATCTGACAGTTTCTCGGTGCGGTATATTATCGAATCTGGTAATAATCTATCTTGGCTATTAGCGAAGTCTAGCCACTTTGCTTTTTTGTAATTGAATTTTGATTTGTATATAGGTTTGTTATGGTGGGGTTCAAGATCGAAGACACACTAGATGGGTAGGTGATCACTGTCTGGATCATAATCTACATTGAAACATACATTTATAAGTAAGTTGTGATGAGCATAGACATAATTCAAGGATGTTATTGTGTTGAGTGAAAAACTTGTGTGTGTGTAGGTGTTGCATCATTCCATTGTACACAGTTGTTATTTTCAAGGAATTTATATAGTTTTCCTCCATTTGTAGTTGTTGTTTTACATACAAGTACGACATCCTTACTATTTAGGTCTTCTATTATTACAAAGTTGTTATTACGGTCATATAGTTCAATGAATAGATCTACATCTATAGTTCTCACAGGAGAACAATGAATATCAGCTATTATGATACATTTATTATTTCTTAAGTGAACATCTATTGTTATATTCTCATATGAGGAATCGACAATTATTTATCTGTGAGACCGATAAAAATGATAGTAGAGTATATCCCTGTTTGGGCCATCCTTGTTCATTCTGTCGACTCTAATTGTCGTGTAACCATAGACATTAAGTAATTACTAATATGTCTGTATTTCTGTGTAAGATTATGACTTCGATCCCGTGCCTCTTGGTAGCAATCCCACCTTGGACATTGACGTGTGGTACCGTGAATTCAGATGAGAAGGGAGCCCATGTAGTCTGTAAGGAATAATTGGTGTGAAGTGTATTTTAGCTATTGTGATGAGCAGTCAAATGCAATCTGTTGATTTTTGTGGGTTTTGGTACTCGTTTATAAATTCAGTAAAGGTGTGTGTTTGCAGCTTCTACTAAGGGATTGTTGTTCGTGTTTTTGATTAAGGTTGCGGGTGTAAGATTTAGCTGGCAATATATTATACAAAGAAGAACCATCTACTCTAATTTTAAAGATTTGCGCGATGATTAAACCTCCACTGGCAGAGTTTTGAATGGCGCAGAAAGATTAATACGAGTTAAAAGGAAAATTATTTCCGCTGCACCTGATACTCCCAGGTCTCAAAGTAGACTTAAAATCCGATCAAGATAGTAACAGGTTCGATCATCTTGTCTTGTTTGTAGGCAAGCACCAAGCGATACGATGGGCTATCAGTGCTGTGCCCACCACGGTTATCAAAACCCAGTTTTTAGCTTTATAAACTTTCGTACTTGCTACTGGGGGGCCGCGTGCGATCAACAACAATAAAATCAAAGTAACAATTTTTGATGGTACTCACATACGGGCATTCGGAGATAAAATAATCTCTTCACTTACACTCTCAAGCTAGAAAGGGGCTAATGTGTAAATCAGATTATTTTTATTACGTTTACAACTAAAGATGGTGTTCTTGTTTCAATCATTGGTCAATGGTAAATTACAGAGGAAAAAAGTTGAGGGAGTAATGTTTAAATTAGTTTGCCAGAAAATTTAACAATTTTTTGAAAACTGGCAAATTTTTAGAACTCTTTTGGTAGTAGTAGAATCGTTGGTAACTTTGTCCAGGAATTCTTTAAGGGTTACTTTGTGTGGCGTTTCTAACGACAAAATCGCCAAGTTCGCAACACTGTTCTATCTAATAGCAGAAACGATGGTTTGAACTTTTTTGTCTTGTGGTTTTGGTGTTGTATGTTCGTTTGATGGCCGGAAATACAATCCTCCATTGTTGATTTTATATCTTTTATTTTTTCACCCCATTGGGACTACGGTAAGTCTATGGACTTATAACGCTAAACACCGACACAGCACAGATAATCCACTGTGTTTCTTTGTTCTTAACTATAAACAAACAAACAAATCACATTTTTCAACTGGAGACTGATTCTGTTGATCTGAAGTGACGATTTGTGTTTTGTTGATCTGTATTTTAGGTTTAAGATACAATCTTGGCAGAGAGGTGGGGAATGAAAGGTTTTATTTTTTGGGGAGTGGGGGTTCGGTGTTCTTTTTATGCATATGGTTTCTCGGCCTTGAAGAAGAAGTGTTCAATCTAGTGGCTTATGGGAGTTTACTACTATTTAGACAAAGAATCTAATCCTTCCTGTTTTGCGGGATGTAATCCTATGGATACTGTGGATATTGGTTGATAGGGTTTTAATTTCTCTAGCAGTGATCGAAAGATCGATGTTTCATATGAAGATACTCTACATGCTGCAGTTTTCTTGCATTTCAAAAATCCAAGAAGAGAAAAGTTAGTAATATCTTCAGATGTTGAACAAAAATAACACCTCTATTAAACTGTCGTGTAATGACCAACAACTTACATATTTCAACATTATGAACGATTCGAACCATCTCCAAAAACAATAAAAAGAACAGATGATATTGATAGTTGAAGAAAGTGCGTAGATGAATGTTTTAACAACGTTAGGAATAATGTTGAAGAGTTATATTTTACACTTTGAAAAACATACTTCATAAAGTTAAAATTAGTAAAAATAATATACAGCGCTTTTACATTTTCCTGTCTTTGTTTTATTACCATTACAAATGTTGATACTTAAATATTAAACTTTTTCCATTTAACATGAATCAAATTTATTGCAAATGGCGAAATTGGTGAGCTTCATGCTACCTTTACATAATCAATGTCTAGATAAGATGATAAAGTATTTTTAAAGTAAAAAAAAGAAATAAAACGCTTAATTATTATCAGATCATAAAGTTCCACTTCATAAATGTTTATCTACAAACGACACAAAGCTGAGAAAAACTATTATTCATTTGAGAAAATGGAAAGTATTTAGAGATACTTCATTGCAGTTTCATGTATTCATTTAGGGCCACTGACTTTTACAAAGGCAAGACTAAAGAGATGGAGAATAAGAGGGGTTGTAAATTTTTTTATTTGTTCCATTCTTTCTTTAGGCTTGCATTCGCGCTTTAAATAAGTTTATATCTTGTTCAACACTTAGCTGTTTTATATTATTACTACTTAGCAGACTCACGGCAACTTCTTGAATTAATTAATGCATATAACTGCAGTAATATATATATATATATTTCTGTTCACTGTTTTAGAGGTGGTATACAGTAACATCAACCATTATCATTAGTCCGTGAAAAAGTGTTCACTTTTTGCTGTCGTTTATGAACATTCACGTTTTAAAACAAATCAGTAAGTGCGTGCTAGTTAATAAAAAAAAAGCAAACAGGATTATAGGTCGTATACATAGAAATATTGAGTATAAGTTCAAGAAGGTCATCAATTCACTTTATAAGGTGCTGTTTAGGACTCATTTAGAATATTGTGTCCAGCTTTGGTCAATTTATTTAATAATGTATTCAGCTTTTGTCAGCATATTTAACATTGTGTTCAGCTTTGGTCAGTTTATTTAATAAAAGTTTATGTTTTCTTTTTAGCTCAAAGCTACGCATTGGGATATCTGCACTGTGCCAATAGCGGGTATCAGACCCCGATTTTTAGTGTGATAAGCAGCAACCTTACCACTGAAACTCTATGGAGGTTATTTAAGAAAGGATGTTGAGTTGTTAGAAAGAGCTTGGAGAAGAGCTACCAGGTTTTTTTTTGGAAGGGGAGAGGTTATCATATGGGGATAGCCTGAAATATTTTTACATACTTTCTCTGGAGAGGAGAAAGGCTTTGACTGAGGTAAGTCTGTTAGATCTTTAGAATTCGGAAATCTAAAACCTATTTACATAAAAAAAATTGCAGGCAGTGAGACTAGACCGGGGACACAAATTGAAGATATTTAGACACAACTCTACTTAAGGCAGTGTTGCTTTTCTAATATGGTGGCCATC